TATATATATATATATATATATATATATATATATATATACACACACACACACACAATTATTATATAATATTAATATCAATCTGAGTATGGAATGCGACCTATGTTTTTAATGAAAGTTTTTAGACTTTATTTATCACTAGGGTCTCTGGGCTGGTCTTGGTGGGGTTTCCTGCGTTTCTAAAAGTTGAAAACCGAGTATTAAAACAGAATATTTGGGATTAAAATCATTGGAAGCAAAATTTTGTTACATAACTCAAGAACAATGACATAGTGATAGTTAATTCACGACATAAACGCAACCACAATTCTTTGTGAAAAAAAACTACAATTCGTTGTAGTTAACGCCACCTGCTGTTTGTTTCTCTCGTTGTTCCCTCCAGTTTTTACATACTACATTCAAACTCCCACATATTATGAAATAATTCAGATTTATCAAATCAGGTTGGTATAGCAAAGGTACTATTATTCACTCTCTCACATGTTTTTGTGAAGGGAGATTAGGTTAATACCGTAGTCCCGCCATACTGTGTGAAGCAAGTCATTGCTTCAACCCACTCAAAAAAAAAAAAGTGGCATTGTGTGGAAACATTGTTGCACAGAAGGGTTGAACACTAGGTGATGCAGGCTTGTTTCCCTCTCTTTATTTCTCTGTTATTCTCTTTAATACATCCCTCATGGTGCTGTCCTCACCAGTAGTTGGCCATTCATTCAGCATGATCAGTGTGTGCTCTTTATGCGATTTCCAGATACCTCTGTGTATTTTCAGTTATCTAGACCTGCATTAGAAGAAAACCATGGCACTAATTACAAGAGGACTCCACAGGGTATTTTTCTGGACCAAGAGACCAAATAGCACAATTACACAAGAGATCATGGCAGTTTTATTTATTTATTTATTTATTTATTTGCTTATTTATTATTTATTTATTTGTTTGTTTGTTTGTTTGTTTGTTTGGTTGGTTGGTTGGTTGGTTATTTATTTATTTATTTTATTTTGACTGATGTTTCATGTAATGTTGTTTTTTTTTCTGCAGTTACTGAACTCTGTGTGGCTAAAAACCATTTTCAATTCCTTTCCATACATGTATCACAGGAATGTAATCTGATATGATTATATTAATTACCAATATAAAACAAACAAACAACCATATGAGGATGTTACTCTGTAAATAATAATAATTATTATTATTATAATTATAATAATAATTGCACATTAATAATTGCATATTAATAATTACATATTAATAATAACATATTATTATTATTGTTGTTGTTGTTGTTGTTTTAACCTAGTATCCCATTATTATTATTGTTTTAACCTAGCATCCCCTTGTCATTTAACACAAACATTAAAAAAAATTGTTTATGCAAATAATATAACAGCAGTTAAAGATTATTATTATTATTATTATTATTATCATTATAAAATAAAATACAAGAATAAAATGAGACTGTTTTGCAAATGATTGTTGATACTACTACTACTACTACTAATAATAATAATAATAATGACCCGACCAGGCTACAATAGTCCAAATATAAGTACTTATTATAAGTGCACCGTAGTGATTCGGAATAAGACAAAAACGTGGTTTGGAAGATTAATTCATGATGTAATCGCTCATTATATACATTTTGCAAATTTCGAACACAGAAAAAGTTACATAGTGCTGCTTTAATACAAATGACCCACTTCCCCTTATAATTTTGGATTAAAATAGAGTCAATTTGACTTAGAATTTCATTTTTAGCCTGTATCATAACTAGCATTTCGGTGATATTTTCCACTAGTTTTAGTCAAAGTATAGCCAAATCATGGCAGCCTGGTATGGGGTTATTTTATGTTTGCTTTGATTTGTTTGTCATCATGTAAATCTTATGCGCCGTGTGCTCTGAGCTAGCCTTCTCCGCGATTACATCTAATGTTTTTTTTCCTGCCTGCCATACACTGATAAACAAAGTGTCAAGGAGAGCCAGTGCAGAGAAACCCAATCCAAATACTTCTGACTGCACACACATACACAAACCCTGAAAGCATATTCATATAGAGACAGTGTTTGACAATTACAGCTTTTGAACATTTACATAATGTGTGTGCATATGTGCCCCTCTCTACCGACATGTTTGCTTCTATTATGTCTGTTGTTTATTATGGAGTGATTGTGTGTACATGGTTGACTTTTGAATGTGTGATTGGTCGTGTCAGTTTGTTGAGGCACAGTTGTCGTTCACATTCATCTCAATGGCAGTTGCACGGTTGACACAAAACAACAGAGATTTGAAAGTAGCCAATGACTCGGGGATGCCATGTGATTTTGATGAAATCATGACAATTCTGATTAGCTGGAGGCATCACTAGAGAAGTCCCAAACCATTTACTAGCAGCTATATTGAACTGTAACATCAAAGGCAGTAGAAAGGGACAACTATTTAACCATTTTATGGACATTGATATAATACCATTCTCAAATATATGGCTACAATATTTTAAAAAAATATTATTATTATTATTATTATTATATGTTTTTTCTTATAACTATAGAGGATAAACACTCTCAGTTTGTCTCAACCTAATTAAGCAGCTCTATTAAACACAAATATAAAAAGTAAAATGAAACTAGTTTAAGCAGTGGTTGTTTCGTTTCCATTGGACTCTTAGCTCACTCGCTCATGTTTTGTTGGTATCAACAGAGGCATTACTGGCTCTGTATTGGATCATACATAGCATGCATAACCTCACTGTCCACTGAAGTAACATTTTATTCAACTAAAGGAATTATTGGTGACATCCTTAACCCACGGCCCGCAGCAACGGCCTTGGAAATGTGGTAACTGATCCTCTTCTCAGAGCAATCAATAATGCAGGTGGCGTTGGTTGGTTGGTTATTTATTTATTTATTTATTTATTTATTTTATTTTGACTGATGTTTCATGTAATGTTGTTTTTTTTTCTGCAGTTACTGAACTCTGTGTGGCTAAAAACCATTTTCAATTCCTTTCCATACATGTATCACAGGAATGTAATCTGATATGATTATATTAGCTCCCAATATAAAACAAACAAACAACCATATGAGGATGTTACTCTGTAAATAATAATAATTATTATTATTATAATTATAATAATAATTGCACATTAATAATTGCATATTAATAATTACATATTAATAATAACATATTATTATTATTGTTGTTGTTGTTGTTGTTTTAACCTAGTATCCCATTATTATTATTGTTTTAACCTAGCATCCCCTTGTCATTTAACACAAACATTAAAAAAAATTGTTTATGCAAATAATATAACAGCAGTTAAAGATTATTATTATTATTATTATTATTATTATTATAAAATAAAATACAAGAATAAAATGAGACTGTTTTGCAAATGATTGTTGATACTACTACTACTACTACTAATAATAATAATAATAATAATAATAACAACAAATATTTATGTACATACATATATATTTTTAAAAAATATTATTATTATTATTATTATTATATGTTTTTTCTTATAACTATAGAGGATAAACACTCTCAGTTTGTCTCAACCTAATTAAGCAGCTCTATTAAACACAAATATAAAAAGTAAAATGAAACTAGTTTAAGCAGTGGTTGTTTCGTTTCCATTGGACTCTTAGCTCACTCGCTCATGTTTTGTTGGTATCAACAGAGGCATTACTGGCTCTGTATTGGATCATACATAGCATGCATAACCTCACTGTCCACTGAAGTAACATTTTATTCAACTAAAGGAATTATTGGTGACATCCTTAACCCACGGCCCGCAGCAACGGCCTTGGAAATGTGGTAACTGATCCTCTTCTCAGAGCAATCAATAATGCAGGTGGCAACCCAAAGGCTGATGAGTCTCTTAAAGGAGGGAGCGCAGTGTTGGGTATCAGTGCAACATTCTTGGGCCCTGAAACTGCTGCTTCTTTATCTGTTCATTCATCCAAAATATTTTTTAAAAGACCTTTTTTAACTAAGGAGAGAAGAATCTGCATTGCTTCTTTATTATGGACTGTTCAAAGCTCTTTTAGTGCCTGTGAACTGTTGCCTGGATCTCTTTAAAAATAAAAAAAAAACAAGAAGCAAGGAGCTTTGTAAGTGGTAAGTTATATAATGTGTGTTTCTTTAAGAGTTTGTTTCACAGACTCAGCTTGCATGTATTACAGTGAATTACAAGTGTATTACAATCCATGATGACTTTTTATTCTCCTGGAAAGATTCTTTTGGTTGTTGTTTTCTAAAATTACATTAGTTTTCTATCTATTTTCGGTGCTAATGTGTATGATTTATTGTACTGTTTACATCATCTATGTTTACGTATGAAGTCATTAACCGCATAACAATGTTACACTAAAGAATGTTTTCATTCTAATGATATACATTTTTATGATTTTTTATTTTTTTTTCAAAGTTCAAAGTGGTCAAAGTCCAATTAATTTATTATTGCAAATTATGAGTGTGGCACCACTTTGTTTTCACTTTTAAGTTTATGACAACAATTTTATTTTATTTTATTTTATTTTTTCATATTTTATTTTATTTTTATTATTATTTATTTATTTATTTATTTGTTTGTTTGTTTGTTTTTTGCAGCCTTTTTTTAAATCTACACTTTAACTATTTGTAGTGTACTTTTGTAACGGTTCAGTCATGAAATGAGGTTTTACTTTTTACTTTTTTAGTCATGAAATGAGGTTTCTTTACATCCGCACCATGTGCTAGTACTGTATTGTTTAGGGTCATGCTTAAAACATGAAGGTCTGCTGTCAAACATCTGTCAGCTGAGGTTTCTTGTTCGGTCTCCAGTGAGTTCAACAGCGCCAGAGAGACACTGAAGTGGTAGGATATTATTTTCCAGCTCATTCTTCTGTTTTATGGGTGATTCCTTCCTTCCCATCATCAGGTCAACTGATAAGGTCTGATTACAAGGCAGGAGGCGAGATCTCCTGTACTTTCATTCTGCGAACTGTATCTAGTCACTCTAGTTATATTACCAATTAAATAGCTCTTTCCCCATAAATCAAACAAGCCTTCCAGGTTTAAGGGTGTGTTTGTGTGTGAGTAGCTATTACGCAGTGAGCGTCAAGCTAGTTAACAAAACCAGTGAAATGTGAAGCCGTTTTGTTAGGTCACAAAATTATTGACAAGTGTCAAGTGAATGAGCCATGGTATAAAGTATACTCACGTGTCACTGTCACAGCTAGAGTAAGTACAAATACCAAATGTCATGACAGCTTCAGCTGACACAGCGTTCGGTTGGGCGTTAAACGTTAACTCCAGATCTGTGTTAGTACGAAGCCATCGCCTTTAATAGACATTACGGGCCAAAGGTCTCTTTCCTTACCTAACACATCTTCACGAGCGCCACGTACGCTCTGGGAGAGGACAAGCGACGCTGTCAAGGTCTCGAATTGGAATATTAGCATCTTTTCCAGGTTAATCTCAAATTCAGTCTTGAGACGTTTAGGAGAAAGGTATCGTTTTCATATAATGTAATGGCAGCATCCATGAAGCTTTGATTTAATTCACTGTCTTGCCGCATCAAAATATGCTGATTTTGCTGATGTTTTGTGTTCATTAGCTTTCGTTTTTGCAGTATGCTGTTTATTCACTAATATGTGATTGATGACTTGTATCTGGGGATCTGAGATGAAATACACGGGACATGGGATGTTGACACGTCATGTGGTGTGACTTCATAGCGTTTTGCTAATTCTCTTGTTTTGTGTCTTGCAGCTTTTATGGTCTCATATTATTTGTACAGTGCTTTAAAAAAAAATGCATTTATTACACCTTAGCACCATTTAAAACGAGCAAGGTAAAGGCAAATGGTGATTAAATATGCTAAAACCGAAACTTTTAATGCTGATTAAAATCAAATTATACATTATAACATTCAACATTTTAGGGTCAGTAACATTTATTTGATATACATTTTGAATGTTTGAATGTTTTATTATTAATACTTAGACTACTTAATTTGATTAAAAGTGAAAGTAAAAAAGTTACAAAAGATTATTTATTTCAAATAAATTCTGAACCGTGTTCAACAACGAATCCTGGTTTTCACAAAATATTAGCACAGCTGTTTTTAACTGATAATATTAACAAATGTCTCTTGAGCAGCAAATTAGCATATTAGAATGATTTCTGAAGGATCATGTGACATTGGAGTCTGGAGCAATGGCTGCTGAATATTCAGCTTTGCATCACAGGAATAAATTACATTTTAAAATATATTAAAATAGAAAACAGTTGTTTTAAATGATAATAATATTTCTGTTTTTACTGTATTTTCAATAAAACAAATAAAGTTTTGTGTGCATAAGAAACTTCTCTCAAAAGCATTAAAAAAGTCGTACCAAACCCACACTTTTGGATGGTAGCACACGTCAACTGCTCATCTGTAACTGCATTTCGTGAAGTGTTTTTACCAGTTGTGTCCACCATGGATTTGCTTATCATAGAGATACAGCGGTGGGCAAACAGTGTACTGTATATAGCACACAAACTCTCTGTGTTGACTTTTTTGGCAGGTCTTTTGCATGGTGAGAACTGCTGCAGGGAGAACAGCATGGAGAGCAAAGTGACACAGATCTCCCGAGAAGATCTGGAGGACCTGAGAGAGGCTTTCAACAAAATCGGTCAGTTAAATTCAGTTTGAATCTCACTGTAGTTTTAGTGAACTCTGCATTGGAACGTGTTCGAATCATCTGACTTGGTGCTTGTCAAACATTACCAAAACTGCAATAACTGACTACATAAATGTCGGTTTTTATGGCTGAGCATTGTCTCACGCAATTCTACACACATAATTTATCGTTTCTATGGAATACTGAAGTATTATGTCGAACGTTTGCTGCAAGAATGGACAACTGTCAATGCAAACTGCCGTTCTTTCATTGCAGATATTGATAACAGTGGCTACGTAAGCGATTTTGAACTTCAAGAGCTCTTTCGAGAGGCCAGCTTTAACATTCCGGGATACAAGGTACGGGAGATTGTGGAGAAGTTCATGGCAGGTGACACCAACAAAGACGAGAAGATCAGTTTTGAAGAGTTTGTTGCGGTAAGCCTGACTATGAGTTTTTGTCTTATCTTAAAATGTTGGTGAGCTGGTCAAAGTGCCTGATCTGCTGATTGTCTCACGCACTTTGAAAGCTGAGATCCTGCTTAATTCTTCAGATATACCAAGAGATGAGAAGCAAAGAGGTGAGAGAAACGTTCCGCAAGTGCATCTCCAGGCGGGATGGGATTCGTTCGTTTGGAGGAACATCAAAGATCTCAAGTGAAGGAACTCAGCATTCTTACTCAGGTGGTGGCGTTTACATCCTCTAGGAAGTCAATATGAAACAATAATGTGCTTTAGTTATGTTCTTAATGCACATAATGCACAGAAACGGTTTGTCTTCATTCATCGAAATATAATAACCAGCTTCGCCTCATTTTTGCCCACCTCCATTCTGCAATGTAATGCCCCACTTTCACCATCCAATGAATTCCTTCCGGATAAAATCAAGTCCAGCTCTACATATTTTCATATTGAATATCCTGTTTCACTTGGACATGCATAAAAATAGCCAGAAATAAGCAGTTTCTGCTACACTTGAGCACTGCTTCAGAAAAAGTCAAAACCGATCTGAACCATTCGAAATGAGATTTGTCAATGAATGACCCTTGACACATGTGGACCAAATGTCATTTTGCTAATGTTTTGTTTTTGAATCCATTTTCAGATGAAGAAAAAGTGGCCTTTGTGAACTGGATCAATAAGACCTTGGCAGATGATCCTGACTGCAAGCATCTGATCCCGATGGACCCGGAGACTGACAGCTTATTCAAATCTGTGAAAGATGGAATATTGCTCTGGTAATATAAGATGAACTGTGTAATGTTTGTTATGCTGTTAAATGCACAGAGGTATTACTGATAAATAAGAGTTCATGTTTAACAACATCTTGGCTGTCTCTTTACAGCAAAATGATCAACCTCTCGCAGTCAGACACCATTGATGAGCGGGTCATCAACACGAAGAAATGCACTTCATTTACAATGACTGTAAGCACTCTCACATTTGAAACCAAACAAACAGTGACATCAAAAAGTAGATCTTTGAAAATCTACTTAATGGGTCAATCTCACACATGCACATGTTTTCATGGGGACATTCTGTAGATGTAATAATTTTTCTACTGTACAAACTGTATTTTCTATCCCTTTACCCTAACCCTTCCCCTAAACCTACCCCTCACAGGAAACGTTCTGCATTTAGATTTTCAAAAAAAAAAAAAAAAACTTAATTCTGTATGATTTATAAGCTTGTTTCTTCATGCGGACCAAAAAATGTCCCCACAAGGACAATAATTTAGGATATTGCCATCTTTTGCGGGGACATTTTGTCCCAATACTGTAACTGTGTAACCACACACACACACACAAACACACACACACACACACACACACAAACTTATCCAGGTCATATTTTACCCCCAAAAAGGGGGAAAAAAAATTACAAAATATTGCACATCAAAATGTGTAAAGAACAGTTTTTGTTTGTTTGTTTTGCATTAGCAATTAATGCAACAATGCACTTTTAATTCTCATTAATCAGAATGAATCATTAAACAGTGATTAATCAACAAAAATTAAATGGATATATATATATATAATGTTTTAATGTATCATTGTGTAAATACAATGTAAATATACAGTATCTCACAGAAGTGAGTATACCCCTCACATTTTTGTAAATATTTTATTATATATTTTCATCTGCAGTACAGTAATAAGAATATTTTATATTACAATAATGAGAATTTTTAAGGAAAAAATTTCACAATACTAAAAAGACCTACTTTACTACTTTTCTGTGCATATTTTTTCTTTATTCAAAATATTTAAATATATTTAATACATGTATTATTTTATTTGTGGGTGAAATATAACCTAGACATGTTCTTAACTAGTTTTTTTTTAAGATAACCTCAATGTACTTTATGTATCTTTTATATTGCTGTGTGCTAATAAATTATCTTTAAGACCCAATAACACTTATTTCTGGGTGAAATATAACCTAGACATGTTCTTAACTTGTTTTTAAAGATAACCTCAATGTGCTTTATCTATCTTTTATATTGCTGTGTGCTATTAAATTATCTTTAAGACCTGTTAACACTGAGCATGAAAGCTGTATAGATATCGCTATATTGCTATATGTCTTATATATATGTGTGTGTGTGTCACATCACTAAAAAATATATTCTTAATAATATATATATAATTTTCTTATCCTGTACACATTTTTAAATTAAAAATGTTGAAATATATTTCATAACTTTTTTTAAATGATTTTTGGGTGACATATAACTTAACACGTTCTTGACAAGTTTTGTGAGATTCTTCCTAATGCACTTTCTGTATGTTTATCATCTTTAAGACCCGTTCACACTGAAAATGACAGCTATATAGATAACACTATCTATATATAGCATCCATAACATCACACGATAATGTTCTGTTTATTATAAGCGTGTACTGCAGTTTAGTCATCTATCGTTTTAATGCTCTAGTTTTTTTTAAAGTCAGGTGGATTCTGATTGGCTGTCAGTGTTAATTAGCTGTAAAAAAAATTCTGAAAGTGACTCTAACAATACTGTTTATTTGTTTTGTTACTCTTATAGTTACAGGTACAGAATTAGAACGATTATTAACAATACTTATAGTGTGAATGGGCCTTCAGAATCTTTCGGATAAAAGATGTGTTCATTATATTTCTGTTGTTTTCTACAGGAGAATTTGGTGTTGGCTCTCAACTCTGCGTCAGCTATTGGCTGCACGGTGGTCAACATCGATGCTCAGGACATGAAAGCAGGAACCCCTCACCTCGTGCTTGGCCTCCTCTGGCAAATCATAAAAATCGGCCTGTTTGCTGACATTGAGATCTCACGCAATGAAGGTCATTACTCTGCTGCAATAGCCTAAATTTAGTTTTTTATAATCATGGTGCTGTCCAATGGGGTGCTGATTGCTGCCCTAAATAAATAAAAGCATGCATGTACGTCAGTGACTGATTTACGCCTCTTAAGAGGTTTGAGTAACACGTGTCTGTGTATTTATGCCTCTGTAGCTCTAATTGCTTTGCTGGGTGAGTCAGAGGAGCTGGACCACCTGATGTCAATGTCCCCCGAGGACATTTTGCTGCGATGGGTCAACTATCACCTCAAAGCTGCTGGCTGGGAACCAATCAGAAACTTCAGTGACGATATTAAGGTAGTTTATAAGCTTTATCACAGAAGTCATAATTATCTGTTGCTACTGAAAATTGACATCACCCCATTAGAACTAGGCTTTGGGCTAAAGTTTATCATGCACACACACACACACACACACACAAATTTATATATATATATATAAAGTTTGGGGTCAGCAAGAATTTTTTTTTTTTAATAAAGTAATACTTTCATTCAACAAAGATGCATGAAATGAATTGAAAGTTAAATTAGTAAAGTTCGTTACTCTTTGTCTACTTTCTATTTGTCAATAAATACTCAAAAATATGGAGCAGCACAACTGTTTTCAGCATTGATAATAATAAGAAATGTTTCATGAGCAGCAAATCAGCCTATTAGAATGATTTCTGAAGGATCATGTGACACTGAAGACTGGAGTAATGATGCTGAAAATTCAGCTTTGCATCACAGGAATCAATTACATTTTCAAATATATAAAAGTAGAAAACAGATATTTAAAATTGTAATGATATTTCACAATATTATGTTTTTACTGTATTTTTGCTCAAATAAATGCAGCCTTGGTGAGCAGAAGAGATCCCAAACTTTTGAACGGTAGTGAATATCCTAAATATATAAATTACAAATAGCATAGATAAAGGTAATATATTTTCAAAATTTAAAACATATTTAGCGTAAACCTTCAGATGCAAAAATATATTACAAAATGCACTTCAGGGGTTAAGAAAAATACATTTAGTATAAATGCAAAATGTATTTTTTTTTAATTATGGACAACATAAATATATTTAGATTTAAAGGGGTCATATGATGCGATTTCAATTGTTCCTTTCTCTTTGGAGTGTTACAAGCTCTTGGTGCATAAAGAAGATCTGTAAAGTTGCAAAGACTAAAGTCTCAAATCCAAAGAGATATTCTTTCTAAAAGACAGTATGTGGAAAATAATGTGTTTTTTGAACCTTAAACCGCATAAACACATTTCATTACACCAAAATACACAAAATGATGTTCTTTTTAGCAACATCATATGACCCCTTTAAGAAATATATATGTACATACATGTTAATATATTTTTGAAATGTATATTTAAAGTATATACCATATGGGTTATATGCTGAGTAAATTAATCACAGGCCTAGATATGAAAGCCTATAGGCAGTATAAAAGCCGAGCCTTTGATCTGGTTTGACATCAAATCCTTTGAGCTGTCATTTGCATGTCAGTTAAGATTGACTTATGTAACTAAACAGAGCCTTTTTCTGCTCTCAGGACTCCAGGGCATATTTCCACCTGCTTAATCAGATCTCGCCTAAAGGAGACGGGGATGACGAGATGAGGATTGACATTGACATGTCTGGTTTCAATGTACGTCATTCTGAAGGTTTGGTCAGCGGCCTTCGCCTTTTTACTGAGGAAGTCAATATGCTGATTTGTTTCCTGTGTCAACGTTTGCTCCAGCACTTAATGACATGATGTAGTGCAGATAAGAAATAGGCTGACTTTTTGACAGCCAACACCGATTGCTGCCCAAAGTCAAGGGAAATACGAGAACAAAAAACAACAAGACAAGGACCTAAAAAAGTGTGAGCTATTATGAGTGCTGGGTTTGTTTTTGTAAATCAGAATTGGGCAGGTTTATTTGTCTTTAGATTATACATATTTGTGGTGAAAAATTCACTATTACTATTTTTCGAATCCTTTTTGATTTTGACACCCCAAAATACAACAAAGACCTTGTCCAGGTCACATTTCGCTGCACATCTCACCACATATCACGTTAGTGACTCTCAGCTGACCCACGTCTACTGATAGGAATATGACGCCTATCACTACTTCCTTATATAAGGTCCATTCAGTATTATTCAGCAGCTTATCACTTTGCTCAGGAGCCAGTTACCCTTCTCCATCCCCAGCTCCTCCTCTCATCCGCAGTCAGGACTTGGCATTCAGTATTCCTCGTTGAGTCAGACTCTTTATCCTGAATCATGTTGTTACATTAAATTGTCACTTAGAACATTAATGCTATCTGCTCATTAATGTTGGTTCTGTTCTGTTTACTCTAGCGGGTTATTGCTGCTCTCCCTGCTCTCATCCATGCTAGGCTGCATGGATGGGCAGAGAGTGTTTGCCCAGAACAGAACCATAACGCCAATCCAAAATTTTCAGTCATCTTTGACGATAGTGGTCCTGCTGACAGAAATGCATTTCCTTGATCTTTATTATCTTTAAGACCTGCTTTAGCTATATAGCTAACACAAACTAGCATCCATATCACCACATGATAATCTTTTGTTTATCATAAGCACGCACTGCAGTTTTGTTGTCTGTCGTTTTAAATTATTGAGATCTTTAAGGTCAGGCGAATTCTGGGTAGAATATAACTATTTGTGGGGCAAAATTCAAAATTCACTGTTACAGTGTAATTATACATTTAAGAACTGAGTAATATTAATTAACTACACGTACTTACTATATGGTTAGGGTTATGCTTAGGTTTTGGATTAGGGTTACTTGCATGTAATTATGCATAATTAATTGTTATTATAATAGTAAGTACATGTAGCATGTGTAATAAGGACACCTTAAAATAAAGTGTTACCCTATATTTCGAAACCCTTAAGCCTATGTAATTAATTTATCATGCATCGTTAGTTAGGGCTACAGACATGAATGATATGCCAAAATACCATGAAGAACATATTATCACAATTTATAAAAAAAAAAAAAAGATAAATAAAAGTAAATAAAAACAAAAAGATAAAAAATGTGAAATTTTGTAAATCTTATAAAATAAAAATGTAGAATTATTTTCATGACAATTAACCACATTAATACTACAATAATTCTCATCACAATGCATTTTAATGTTTTACTTCTGAGGGGTTTTTATCAGTTATTCTCAATGGTGATTCTCATTACTATTGACACCTCAAATGACTTATTGAATTTTACTCTAAAACTGGTGAAAGTATAATTTTTAAATACTTTAATGGCCTAACAGTCACCAAGAGTACCCTGAAAGCACATAACGGCCACAACAGGTTTTGTATAAGCAAGAACCACTTACATTTTATTCAGGCAATGCAAACTGTAATTTGAGTTTAAAAATCTGTTTTATGTCGGCGCCGATAGCCTTGTGGTTAGTGCGTCGACATATAGCGCAACTATGTGATTAAAAAACTGATACAAAAATGAATAACTAGTATTTCAATTTTGTGCAAAACAATGTCTATGCTTTATGGAAAAAATCATGCAAACAGTCTATTTTTCATGCCAAAGAAAGTGACTGAATGTGGGTGTAAAGTGTATTGTTTGCAATGTTACACCCTCATATTGTCCTATTATTGTGCTACAGAACATCCATTAATCACGTAGTAGCAGATGTCTTGTAGATAATCACCTGCTTTAGAGCAATGCTTCAGATCTCTAGTTCTTTAGGTTTAATAACTGTCTGTTTTAGGAGCGTGATGATGAAAGGCGAGCAGAGCTGATGCTGAAGCAGGCGGATCGTCTGGACTGCAGACAGTTTGTCACTCCCAATGATGTGGTGGCAGGAAACCATAAGCTCAACATGGCCTTTGTAGCCAATCTTTTCAACATGTACCCGGCCTTGAACCGACCCGCCAGTAATGGCATTGATTATACAATTGCAGGTGAGTTGCATTATTCTTATATGTGAATGTGCCAAACATGTGATGCAAGAAAGGTGTTCTGTATGCAGTCTGGGGCTCTCTAGTGTTTCAGAGAGCTTGCTGACTGCCTGTGATGAATGATGCTGCGTTATCTTTGCTCTACATCTGAGCTCACATCCTGTCTGAATTACCAAGCAGATGTTTCCTATGATCAGAACAAGAAACATACTCAAACAACTACATCCATGAAAGCACTTATAATGCATTCATAATGACATACAAGTTTAAAAAGAAGTCCATCATATTTAAATCTTTATTTTGCAATTCATCCGCCTGTCATAATGGCTGTATTATCTTCACCATCAACATATTCTTTTTCTTCTTCTTCTTCTTTCTAACACAAAGCCTGGCTGTGCAGAAAACTATTATTATTTTTATTATTATTAAGATAATAAGATGAAAGGGTTAGTTCACCCAAAAATGAAAATTCTGTCATTAATTGCTCACCCTCATGTGCGCAAAAGAAGAAGAAAACGACTTTATTCAACTATTCGTCTCCTCCGCATCACCCTGGTGCCATTTTGGAGAATATCTGCTGGAAGTAAACAGAGTATGCTGTTCTGTGTCAGCTGCGTCACACGGATACGCTGTTTCCGTTCAAATCAAATCACAGATCCGGCGTGACGCAGCTGACAGGAGGTGAAGAAGAAGTCAAAGAAGTCCTTGTTCCATCCGGCGTGAAGCAGCTGACAGGAGGTGAAGAAGAAGTCAAAGAAGTCCTTGTTCCTCTTTACAACCCAAGTTTAATTCATAAAACCTGATAAAAAATAGGAAACATTCAAATGTAAAGTGACTTAAAGTGAAGTAATAGGTGAGGTTTTAAGATATTCCGTTACAGGTTACATTTCATGAATACATAATTACTGGACCGATCTTATCAAGATTTTCTTGCACGTTCTGAAGACGTTGCCTGTTTTTACTGCGGTTTATTGGCGAGTCAAAGCATGTGCAGTGTTCTGAGTGAGCAGCAGGGGGCGTGCTGTGGCTGTACTGCACGTGCGTGTTAGAGGGTCGCATGTGACATCAGTAATTGGGGGTGATTGGGTTCATCTCACAGTCTGTTTATCTCTCTTCTGTCCTCCTGATCTGATTGTTCCCTTTTCTTCTTCATTCTGTCTCCTTAAATACAGTAGTCTATATCATCAAGCCGACACATAAGTAGATTTGCCAGAACCCGCTTAACTGCCTTTTTTCTTCCATTTACATTGCAAAGAGAGATAAATTATTATTTTACCATCATGCCCTTGGCTCCATTCATAACACTATTTATTCAGTCCGCAGCCTGGTTTTATTGTTAATTATGACAAAGTTCTATTGTGCAAACTAAGAGAATATTTAGCTCAGAATTATTCAACAGACTATCATCATGTAATTATTCAGATTTAAAGTGGTTTATTAAAAATGTATTTACCAAGAGTATATCATGGAAAACAGAATTTTCGCTGTAGCTTTTTTTTTAGATTTATCTTCATCCCTAGTTCACTTTTATGAAAACAACAGCTTAATAAATTGTTATGGTTATGGACACCACAATCATTAGCATATGACTACCCACATTTCTACATCAATGTTAATTTGTCAGTCTATATATAGAAATCATAAAGGTACCGCAGCAAAAATAGCCAATTTAATTTTATGAGAGGGTGGACAGTTTGTACTTATTATGTGAGTATATAAACACAGACATCCAATTAAAATAGTCAACATATTAAAATAAATAAATGCATCTAAAGTGCATAATAATCTTCAAAATTAATACCAGATATAACAGTGTTATGTCGTTGACTACAGGGGAAACACGAGAGGACAGGACATTCAGAAACTGGATGAATTCTCTGGGAGTTGCTCCACATGTCAATCACATGTACAGGTAACACAGCCATTTGTTTCAGCTTACAGTAATGCCATAGTTTTCTACAGTGACAACTGAAACATAAGGACTAATCTTGACCCTGGAATGAAAAGCTAAAAACAATATAAACCAATAGGGAACAACAACAAAAAAAATCACAACATATAAGACTTTTATTTTATTTTATTACTTTTTATTCATAACTGAATGATGGATCTGCAGGGAGGTTGTGAGATTGGCATACTGTGGTGTTATATACAAAATATTGTCTTTACAATTGTTATTAGTTCTTTCTAAGGCAAGCATCACTATTGCTAATGCTTAAACTTCCCAAAGTATTCAATTTGGGCATATACTGTAACTTGTGCATACATTTAGATTTATATTACTTCATTTAGCTGACCTTTTTTTTTTTTTCTTTGGTAGTACTGTAGGAAATAAATCCGTAAAATAACTAGCAGTTCATTACCGGGACATTATCCATTCATTTTATGGACATTTACATTAACTCTAAAGTACAATCAGATGCAAGTGTAATATTCCAAATTGCAGTAAAACACCTGTTAAAAAAATATGGAAAATTCCTTCAAATTGCCACAGTACATTGTACCCTTTTATTTTATTTTAGCAGTGTAGTAGTAGATTAAACAGGCGTTATTGTTATATAAATAGAGAGATGAAAAGGAGTGGCTGGAAAAAAATTTGGGCTGTAATCATATAACAATATTGTAACATACCATTTGTGCTATAGATATGAATAAAATCGCAGATCATATTGTTTATCACAATAAAGGTGGACTATCACTTACTTTTTCAAATTATTAAGTGATGATACATACAGTTTTCATCTGGTGAATGATATAACAGGCAGATATAATATAGTGTTATGAAGAAACTTCCTGACAAATCAGTGGTGGTCTGCACCTTTAAACACAACTCATTGTCTTGAGCACATTATAACCAAAAGAGTGAAGTTCATCATTACCGTCTTCTTCTCCAGTGATCTGCACGATGGTCTCGTCATTCTTCAGCTGTATGAGAGAATCCAGGTTCCTGTTAACTGGACTAGAGTCAATAAACCTCCCTATCCAATACTGGGATCCAACATGAAGAAGGTTTGTATTCAAGTTTTATATTTGAGTTCAAAAAAAAAAAAAAAGTACAAGAAGCTACTGAATGAGTTAAACAACTGGCTCACATTCCAGTCAGATTTTTATTTTTATTTATATCACATTAATAATCGGTCAAAAATATGTGTGTTTCTGACAACAAATTAAATATGGCTGTATTGCAACATGTTGAATTTGTGTCCCTGCTGAAATGATTTCCACAGCTGCCTCAGGGTACCGGCTAGCTGCGTTCAGAATTCAAAATGCATGCTTTATTCATCAAAAATGCCATTTATGTATGGAGACCTGCAGTTGTTAGGGTTGAATTATACATGTCATGTTAATTTGGTTGACATATGTTTGTTTTGTAGCTTGAGAATTGTAATTATGCGGTCGCACTGGCCAAAAAGGAAGCAAAGTTTTCCTTAGTAGGAATCGGTGGTGAGAATATCAATGAAGGAAGCTCCATGCACACCCTTGCATTGGTCTGGCAGCTAATGAGAAGGTATTTTATTTTTACAGTATAGGTTTCAACACAGTCTCATGGCAATTTGTAACTATTTTACATTTTGCCGAATTTGTGGAAAATTCATATGAATTTGTATTAATTTAATACCTGCTTACTCGCCACTGAGTGTTTCTTTTAGGGGTGGACCTTTATTTCTATTTTTATTATAGGTGTGTGTGTGTGTGTGTGTACATTTTTGTACAATTCATTTTACTTGTTAAATAAATAAAATTACAGCTTGACCCATATGGCAAAAAAAATGTCCAAAACAAATATATAATACACATCTTGTAAACAGATTGAATTTCAAATGAAAATATATTTCATAATCCTTCAAATGTAAAATATATTACAAAATATACTTCAAAAGGGCAAGGAAATACAAAATTACAATTAATATAAATATATAAATTATTCTAATATGCTGATTTGCCGCTCAAGAAACATTTCTTATCAAGGTAGAAATAAGTTGTGCCGCTTAATATTTTTATTGAAGCGGCAATACATTTTTTCCCAGGATTCTTTGATGAATAGACAGTTCCGAAGAACAGCATTTATTTGTTATAAAATTTCCTTTGTAAAATTGTTTTTTTTTTTACTGTCACTTTTGGTTAATTTAATGCATACCTGCTGAATAAAAGTATTAACTTATAAAAAAACTATATATATATATATATATATATATATATATAAACTACATATATGACAGATATAAACTATATATATATGCCATATGGGGATGGTCATGTTATGGTCACATCTATTTTTGTTGAATATTCGTGACATTAATTATTTTGTCAGTTCATTACAATGAATACCTCCCGCAGGTACACACTGAAGGTTCTGTCTGACATCGGTGACGGGGAAAAAGTCAGTGACCAAGTTATTATCGACTGGGTGAACAACACCTTGAAGCAAGGCCAGAAAGACTCGTATATTAACAGCTTCAAGGTGAATCCCATTCACTATCAATGAATTCAATATCAAACATACCCAAGTTTAAATGTTTTTCACTTAAACCTTCTATGTAATGTATCATTCCAGGATAAATCAATCAGCACTAGCCTGCCAGTGATTGATCTGATCGACACCATCATGCCCAAAGCCATCAAATACGAGATGGTGAAGACCGGAGAGCTGACGCCAGAGGACAAGCTAAACAATGCAAAGTAAGTTCCCCCCACAGCTCCTCATAAATTACCCCGATACACATCTGACGCCAAATTGCTTGTTGTCTCGCCACCAGCAACCTTATCCGTATCTCTGCTTCCCACTCGCAGATATGCAATCTCAGTGGCGCGAAAAATCGGAGTCAGGGTGTACGCCCTGCCCGATGACCTTGTGGAGGTCAACCCCAAGATGGTGATGACGGTGTTTGCATGCCTTATGGGAAGAAGCTTGAAGAAAGTAGATGGCTGACCTTTCTTGAAGGACACTGTCAGAAAGCACAACCCTCACCTTGCACTTTTTCTTCTGACTTCCCTTCTGCCTCATTCACCGAAACGTTCATGCATTTGTTTTTTGAAATATTTCTTTATGAATATTTCATCTTTGATTAATTGACCTCCTATTCATTACATTTCACTAATGGTTTCATTTCTCCTAGCTAATATGCTACATGTAGATTATTCAAAGTTGATGTTATTTCCTTAAAGGAACAGTTCGTCCAAAAAGGAAAATTATCTGAAAATGTACTCACCCTCAGGCCATCCAAGATGTAGATGAGTTTGTTTCTTGATCAGAACAGATTTGGAGAAATGTAGCATTACATTGCTTGCTCACCAATGGATCCTCTGCAGTGAATGGGTGCCGTCAGAATGAGAGTCCAAACAGCTGATAAAAACACTGCAACAATCTACAAGTAATCCCACAAGTAATCATTCAAGCGAAAAGCTGCATATAATCTACACTGTAAAAAAAATTCCGTAAAATTTCCGGTAAAAAACCGGCAGCTGTGGTTGCCGGAATTTTACCGTAAAAAATACGGTAGCAACGTTTTAGGTTTTACGGTTTTAACTTAAATTTACAGTTAAATACCGTAATTTCATTAACTGATATAATGTTAATATACCAACCTATTGAAGTACTGAAATCTGTTTTGTACCTTTGTAATACACTGATAACCACCAAATGCAGGTGGTGATGAGAAAATCACATGATGAACCAAAGCCCATCACAAGCAGCTTTTAAATACTAACATATATAGAAGGTGCACAGTGTCATTCACACAAACACCAAACACCATCATGGTAACACACATGAAACAAATAATGCAATAAACATTCATTTAACAACGTTAGATGTAACACACAACCCTAATATACAAAACTGATAAGAAAAAAAAGATGTTTTTAACTTTAATCCATCACTTCTGGCCAAAATATGTGTCCATAATCCATAGTAACACTGTGAAAAAGTCCATCTCCTGTTGTCCTCTCACATCAAAATCCGCTGACATATTTGTTTAGAACTGTTTTGGCTTGTAAATAGATATGAGCATATGTCTCTCCTGATTATGACGAGATGACTTTTAATATTAGAGATTTATGACTCATGTTTTCAGTTTACAAGTTTCAAGTCTTGATGGATTTGTTTGTGGATTACTTACTTGTGGATTATTGTGATGTTTTATCAGCTGTTTGGACTCTCATTCTGGCGGCACCCATTCACTGCAGAGCATCCATTGGTGAGTAAGTGATGTAATGCTACATTTCTCCAAATCTGTTCCAATGACGAAACAAACTCATCTACATCTTGGAAGGCCTGAAGGAGACGGAATCTCAAGGAAATTTAGATTTCTGTGTGAACTATTCCTTAATAATTGTGAATAATTGTTTTGATTTATTGACTCATTAAAATGATTTTTTCAGTTGAGCCAGATTGTAAATAGTTGGATATTTTGACATTACGTAAATAAAGGTGCCCACAAGAAATATTTGAGCCATGTAGATATCTGCACATTCATTCAGTTTGTTATTTAATCAGGCTTAGATGCAGCTGGCAACCTGTTTTGGCTTACAGACCCACATTTTGGATGTCAATCTAAACAATATTTGCGCATCCAGGGAAGCGCATTGTAATCCAGAGGAGGATATTATACAGTGAAATGCGAGTCGAAAGCAGAAGAAATGCCAAAATCGAAATCCAAATAGACAGAAATAATAATTAAACCAGCATCCACATCATTTAACAGTGGCCAGAAATGTATTTATAAAAGCAAACACTTTCCTGGACTCTGCCTCCTATTTACATTCATCACTGCCACTGTCGAGTGAGTCCAGCTCTCCTCTAGAGAGAGTTTCTCTCAGTGTCATTGTGAAATTCCAGATGTGTTTGAGTTTCTGGGATAATTTCAGCCGAGCTGAGTGTTCCTCTTTGACAACTGTACCATCACGTAGAGCTACGCTCGATTTCACCCAGGAGAATACTGGAAGCCCCCTCTGGGCACAGTGGATTCACTTAACAATGTGCCTCATTCTCTCTACTGCATTATATTACTGTAGAGAAACACTAGCAGATCTCAGTATTTAAATGAGTTTGCTGCCCAGTTCCAACACTAATATGCCAGTTTAAATGCCAAAGTAGAAAACGATCCGCCATCTTTATATCTTTACATCTCAAAGCTATTGCATGGTAAAAAAATTGCATGTTTGTCATATATATATATATATATATAAGAAGCAATAGCAATAGATTTGATGGTATTATTTCACTTTAACACAACATTTAATTTCATCAGAATTAAGCTGATCCCCTCAAATACTCAATAAGCAATTGTTAAATGTAGCTTTAATTTCCATCCTATTTTCCTTGCCATCATTTGAATAATCCAGTTATAAATAAAAAATATTATGGGGAAAAAACTGCTATACTCTTTTATACAAATGTTTCCCTAAATTACAACAGAAGCTTTCTTCTTCTTTTTTTTAATGGTTTCAGAGTTCAAATAACAGTAACTTTTTGTAGTAACCTCAGCTGACATGATACCAATTTTACAGTGCACTTCATTTTGACAACATTTCATTTTGTCATCTTCAATCTCCGTTCACTCATTACAACACTATAGATTAGATAAATGTCAGATTCAAAGGCCAGCACGTCCAGATCTCCTGGAACGTAAATGTCACCACCCCGCACGCAGCTACTGCAAATGACAGAGTTTGCGTTGTAGCGAGTGCTTTCATTTATATACAGGCTTTCTAGAAAGCTCTGCAACAGTTCAGCTCTTCAGTTGAACTAAATGTGAGGGAATCATTGATTCATGTGGTCAAAGATATTTACAGTAAAACACAATAAATGAACCTCAACATACAAACTAAAGATTTTTTAAATGTTCTATATTGAAGTAAATGTGCTTCAGAAATATGAAACAAATTAGACCACTCTTAAATACTAAAAGAGTCCTTCAAGTATGTTATCAAAAGCATGTACATCAAGTGAATCATAGAAGTCATTGAAATGAACAGTCATGGAGGTGACCTGTGCACATTAGCAGCGTATATTCTTCAGCACTCCCAGATCCCGTTGCTTCTTGGTTTTGAAGGCCATCACAAAGTTATGAGGAGACACAATACCTTGTCCCTGTTCATCTGTCTGTCCCATGACAATGTAGTTAAGCCCTGAAACCAAACAAATGAGTGAATTAATTAAATGCCAGTTTCATATGTTGCTCGATGTTTCAGCGGTTCTGTTTTGACTTTCTTTGGAACTATATTTGCTGACAAAGCAAAAAAATAAAAAAATAAATAAATGTTGTCTTAAAGGGATAGTTCACCCCAAAATGAAAATTCTGTCATTAATTACTGACCCTCATGTCGTTCCAAATGGGAGGTTGGAGCTTGATCACAACACATTCGCACGCTTTCCCCTAAGTATAAACAACGCTGATTACGCAGATTACCCCGAACGTAAACAATGCTGATTACGCAGATTATGCTCTTGGATACTCTCCAAAATGGCGGAAGACATAACTCGGGGGAGAAGAATTGTTAAATTATGTTATTTTTGTTTTCTTTGCGCTCAAAAAGTATTCTCGTAGCTTCACAAAACTGAAGTTGAGTCACTGATGTCACATGGACTGTTTTACCGATGTCTTTACAACGTTTCTGGACCTGGGAACATTACAGTTGCGTTGCTGTCTATGCAGGGTCTGAGAGCTCTCACATTTCATCGAAAATATCTTAATTTGTGTTCTGAAGATGAACGAAGGTCTTACGGGTTTGGAATGACATGAGGGTGAGTAATTAATGACAGAATTTTCATTTTGGGGTGAACTAACCCTTTAACTGTACATTGCTTAATATTAAACTGAAATATTCACCCAAAAATGAAACTTCTGTCAACTTCTGGTAAAAAAGCTTTGCCAAACCTGTATGAGTTTCTTTCTTCTGTTGAACATAGAAGATATTTTGAAGAATGTTGGTAACCAAAACAACTCTTCTTTTGTGTTCAGCAAAAGAAAGACTTTCATACAGGTTTAGAATAACTTGAGGGTGAAAAATTATGACAGAACTTCTTGTTTATTGAACTGTTGTATAAAACCTGTATCACAATCGTGCTGCATTTCTGTTACTCCAATAATATGTTAGAAACAGCCCACCCTTGTGAAAAAGTACTTTAGCATATTTAAAAACAAAAAAATCAAATTAATATGAAAATATGGTTAGATATATTATTATGAAATATGGTAAGAGTGTACTGTCGAATGTACTGACAAGCATTTATGGTAAACTAAAATATATCTTAATGTCTTTCCTATTGAAACTTGTATGTTGTGTAATTAATGTATTTGCAATGTGTAATAGTAATTATGAAGTTGCAATTTAGTACATTTAAAATATATTACCATTAAATATTATATCAACTAACAAATTACAGTTAAAATTACAATTGTGCTTTACTATGTTCATAAACGCATCAAAATAAGTTTACATCTTTAAAGCATGACAAATTTAATTAAACTTAATGATTTCAAATGTACTTTAAAGTAATTTTGACATTAAAAGTCAAGAAATTGTCTGTTCTTTAAGTACAATTATTTGTCCATTTCACTGTTTTATAATAGAAGAACACAGCCATGTATACATAAGGTCATAACACACCTTTGCTCATGTGCTATTGCCTCGTATAATGTGAGGCAAAGCATATAATATTTTGTTTAATCCCTTGCTTTACACCTCAACAAAAGTTCCAGTACAAATGATTAATGTTAAACTGTTCCTCTGAAGTGCCAAAAACTGTTCCTGCATATTTCAACACATTCCTCTATGGCACATTTCTAGAAATTTCCCTCAAAACAAAACAGTTGCTTTGCAGAGTTTCCGAGCAGTGGCTTAATATTTCGACACTAAGTGAGCTGAGGTAAAGCATGGCACAATAAAGTCACATACCATCCATGTGGTTGAAGAGAATTATTATTCTAGCTGTCCGTGATTCAAGGAAACCAACTGAGACTCTCTCCTGAGCGAGCTTAAGTTACACACCGTGGCGCTGAAATGGCATATCC